TTCTGAGAAAAAGAGAGACATTTATGACTTTTTCAACCTGAATGCAGTTGTTAAGCCTTAACCTTTTATCTTTCTTAAGTGTTTGGGCAAACAGCATGGTAGAATATGAAAGCAAAAAATCCAAATGGGGGTTAAAAAAAAAACCTAAGTCTTTGCTCTGGTTTGATCACTTAATTAGCTCTGGAGGTCACAGCCTTTCTGTGCTGAGGGTTCTTCAGGACAGGCTGGCTTAGATAACCTTTCCAGTTCTATTACTCCATGATCTGCAGTAATGACCTTTACCTTTCCTCAAAGAGAAGAAAATTTAAAATGGGGGAAGAAAGCGTTAAAATAATATATTTGAGGACAGACTTTCAAAACAGAACAGTACTTCGGTTATGGTTATTTTTAGAATATAAGCTGCTTAAGGACGGGGATCACTTTCAGCTTATTTCCTACATGTAATATAAAAGAAAGGCCACACAGGTACTGGGCAGGTCACAAAAGGCTTTTCTCAGTTCTGCATATGAATAAGCAGACTCACAGGCAGGGTGGTACTGGCTCCACAAGGGAGTCCACAGCAGGCCTGGCCGGTGCTCTTTCCTCATGTCCCACTGGCTTTTCTTCACATTGGGTGCCTCCTCATCAAATGAAAACGCTGCTCTCAGAGAAGTAATCAAGAGACCAGCAACCCACACTTTATCTGGCCAGCAGGAGAATAAAGAACTGCTTGGCTGGTTCCAGCAGTGACATGAAGCTCAGAATGGCTGGGATTATGTGATGCAACAACAGAGCTAGGGCACGAAGGACATACAGGGGACCTTTCACTCAGGCCTTGGGAAGCTCACAGTGCAGTAGACAAACGTTACTGCCCGTCATGCATATGCTAATAGAAAACAAAATCTAATGTGCTAGTGAAAGCGTCTAGAAGGCACCAAGTATTTAAGATTTGGGGAGCTCGGGAAAGTTCGATCAAAACAACCGGGAATCAACAACTAAAAACAACAGCACGAAGTACTCCTCTACAATAATCACAGTCGAGCCTCCTATGAGTCCCTACCGATGTTCCCTAGTTCCAAGGTGGAGGAGAAAGGGAAACAGCCAATCTCTTGAACCACTAGTGGGCAAACCAGCAGCAATCCTGATAGAGAGGGTGACTGAGGATCATAAAATATGACTGTTGTTGTTGTTGGGTGTCACTGAGTCATTCTGACTCACAGAAACCACAGGTGACACAGCAGAACTGCCCCATAGGGTTTTCTTGGCTGTAATCTTTCTTTAACTTGATAGCTCCTTTCTTTTTATTGCTCAATAATACTCCATTCTATGGACATACCACAGTTTATCCATTCACCATCTTGGCTATCTGAATAAAGCTGCTATAAACAATCATGTCAGGTTTCAGACTGGACATAAGTTTTCAAATCAGTTGTATAAATATCTAGGAGCACGATTGCTGGATCATATAGTAAGACTATGTTTACTATGTAAGCTCTGTAAAATCTGTCTTCCAAAGTGGTGTACTATTTTGCACTCCCACCAGAAATAAATGAGAGTTTCTATTGCTCCACATCCTTGCCAGCATTTGGTATTGCCCATTTCTTGTGTTTTAGCCATTCTGATAGGTGTGTAGTAGTATCTCACTGTTGTTTTAATTTGTAATTCCTTAATGACAAATGACACTGAGCATATTTTCATATTCTTATTTGCCATCTGCATATCTTCTCTGGTGAAGTGTTTGTTCAGATATTTGGCCCATTTTTAAATTGGGTTGTTTTCTTATTGTTGACTTTTAAAGAGTTCTTTGTATATTTTGGATACAAGTCTTATCAGATTCATGTTTTGCAAGCAGGCTGCCAGGTCCTTCTCCCGCAGAAAGACTTGTGTGGGTTTTGGTTAGCAGCTAAGTGCTTAACTGTTACGCCACCAGGACTCCTTAAAACATGACTACAGAGCCCAAGACTGTGTCCCTAGCACTGTGTTGCCTCCTTCTTAGGAACACTGGGAAGGTGTGAGGTATAAAGGACTGAAGGTAGTCTAGAGAAAGCAGTGTGGCAGCCACTCTCCTATGCTGCCTCGTCTCGATTCCAGTGTGCTCCAGGTTTTCTTGCTGAAACATCTTGTGGGCTGTTCAGTGCAGTGAAGGAAGACTCTGGGGCTCCTGCTGCCTTAGCCCTACCACTGACCTACTCCATGTTGCCAGGCAAGACACTGAGCTCCCTGTACCGCAGGTTCCCATCACTGGATGATGCTTTCCTACCAGCTCGCAGCACCACAGGGCACTGTTACGCTGGATATACGTAAACTGAATGGGTATTATTTCCTGGTATGAAAGCATGATCATTTAGACTTCATTTAATCCAACAAATGCTTAAAAAGTTAAAAATAAAGGAAAACTGTCACACAGGTCACAGACAGAGGCCCACACTCACAGGCCAGTCCTTGTGCTGCCCTGCCACACTTCCCCTGTATGTGCCCCTCACAAATTCTTCCCCAAGGCAGACGGCAGGGAGAGAGGTCATGGCCTAAATTTTTGGTATCACTGCCTATTTCAAAATGCACGCCAACAGGCCTGAGGATTTCACTCAGTGTTACAGACAACTAGGAATGAAGTGTCAATACATACTCAGAGCTGTGGCCCACAGTCACTCTAGTCCCTGCACAGGGCCTTACCTGCCTCCCCATCCCCGACCTGGTCGCTCCCTTCTCTAGGCTTCTCTCAAGCTCTACTCTCTGCCAGGAATGTCTGGAATGTCCTTCATCCTCTCTGTGACCACCCCTATCTTGCCTGTCCTTCAAAATCCCACTTTTCCAGATAACTCCAACCACAACCGGCTGATCCCACTTTCTGACCATACATTACGCCACTTGATTCTCGTCTATTCATCATTTTGTTATAAAGGGTTTTGTATTTCACGTAGTTGCGTTTCAAGTCTAAATACAGTGAAATCTGTGAGAGCTAGAACATGATGGGATTGCCTTGTTTGTCCGGGCATCACAAGTTTTCTGCCTTTGACAGGATGCAGTCTTACCACTTCTTTATCACTTGTTTTAGTGGAAAATATTTGAGTTTTCTTTCTCTGACAGGTTTCCACCTTACACTGGTTCCAGCTTTCGCAGGTTTTACTGTATTTCATTTATATCCTTCAAGAAGAATACTTCCAACATCTTGAGGGTGGGAACCATGTTATATGTTTATCACCCCTACAGAATTATGTACTTGTACTATTATAGGTTCATAATTACATCCACTGAGATGTATCCTCCTTTTTTCACTAAGGAAAAGGGCTGACTGTGGGCAGAGTTACTCTGGAGAAGTCTGTCTAAGATATTTGGAGGTATACAGGTGTAACCTGAGGATCTTTCTGTAAGCTAATCATCTTTGTACAGAAATGCAAGTATGTACCATGTCACACTCACTGGGATGACTATAACAAAAAAGATGGACAATAACAAGTGTTGGTGAGGATGTGAAGATATTGGAGCATTCATATACTGCCGGTGGGAATGTAAAACGGTACAGCTGCTTTGTAAAATAATTTGACAATTCCTCAAAAACGTTAAACATTAAGTTACCATATGACCTAACAATTCCACTCCTAGGTATATACCCAAAAGAAGTGAAAATAAGGACTCGAACAAATACTAGTACACAAATGTTCACAGCAGTATTATTCATAATAGTCATAAAAGTAGAAACAGCCCACCAACTGATGAATGGATAAATAAAATGTGGTATATACATATGATGCAATATTATTCAGCCATAAAAAGGAATGAAGTACTGATACATGCTACTATATGGATGGACCTTGAAAACATGTTAAGTGGAAGAAGACATGTATTGACATGAGGTCACATATTCTATGACTGCATTTATATGAAATCTCCAGAATAAACCAATCTATAGAGACATGAAGTAGATTAGTGGTTGCCAGGAGTTGGGGAAAAGAGGGAGAGGGAGTGACTGCTACTGGCTACAGGGTTTCTTTTTTGGGGTGACGAAAACGTTCTGGAATTAGATGGTGATGGTTGCACAACCTTGTCATTATGCTGAAAAACCACTAAACTGTACACTTTAAAAGCCTGAATCTATGGTATGTGAATTATATCTCATTTTTTTAAGTTAAAAGAAAAGGAATTCCAGTATGCAACCGAGATCCTGAAACTTTAGAATACACAAGAACCACCGAGGGTTCTTATCAAGATGGTGAATCCCTGGGCCTCTCTGACACCACCAGCAAAATTCTGGCCCAACAGACTCAGTGCAGGACCCAGCAACTTGCTTTTACCAAGCACACTAGAGGATTCTGATGCAAGTTATTAGCCATGAAGCATGTTTCCTGAAACACAGGTATAATGAGAAGAAATTGTAATTTAGACACTGAAGAGCTGGATTTGGATTCTGGGATTGCTCCTTCCTAGTTATAATGACCTTAAGCAAGTCATGTAACATCTCTGCTTCTTAGTTTCCTAAACTATAAAATGGAGACAAGAATCTCCCTCCAATGACAGAGTGTATATGAAGTGTCTAGTACAGTATGTGGCACATAGTCAGTGTTTGATCAACGAATCCTAGCCAAGTGCCAAGTCCATTTGACAAACATTGTCAAGTGCCATCGATATGAAAGGCATGGTATGAGGTAATGATAATTAGTGGGACACATTTTTAAAATAATCAATTAATGGATTTTGCAAAATATGAAACAGACCTTAGAGACCAAACATCTTTGTTTACAGACCATTTAAATTAGCATACTATTTTTTCATGACCCTGGAAAAGTGAATTTGGGGTATATCAGGGAAAACAAAAACAACACATGTTCGGGCATCTTATGATTATAAAGAATTTCTAGAGGCCACCAGGTAATAAAATTGATACCTGAACTATACTCCCCCCCTCCCCTTTGTATTTTCTCTCCCCAAGGCAAATGGAAGCTTAGAATTAGGGACCATGTATTAAACTTCTCTCACATCCTGGGGCAGGTAAAAAATACACAGTGAAACATGAAGCCTGTTACCTTCAGGTCACGGTGGATAATAGGAGTTTTGCACTGATGCAGGCGGGCGACAGCTTCACAGGTATCACAAAATATCTGCAGCACTTCATTCTCTGTAAAACCTGTTTGCAGGCGCTGATTCATCAGGTTCACCACCTGGCCTCCTGAGAGGGTGCAAAGGAGAGGTTATAAACACTCAGACTTGTCAGCAAGCCCAAATAGGAGCCTCCTGGACTAAGGTAACAGAGCTGATTACTGACAGAGCCAGAACTAGAACCCAGCTGTCTTGGCTCCCAGCATAGGGTTTGCTTCCTCATACCCTGGGCCTGCTCTAATGCATCAAAAAGTTATTTTATAAAGCACCCTAGACGTAAGCCGCCCTCGTTATGTCTCAAGATTAGCAATGGAACTGACAATATGGTCCTGCTACAGTCGCCTGCTTGTATTGTCCCAATTATGCATGAGATGAGGCCATAGACTCAACTTGCCACATCTGTTAGTAAGATTCAGATCCCACAATATTATTATACAAGAAGCAGAAGAGGACAACTTTATAGTCTGTACTTTAGGAACAGCTTGGTCTCTGCTTTCACAACTTGCTGTTTGGTCAGTGGAAAAGTTGCTGGTGGAAAATCTCCAGGACAAAAGGTTGATGACCTCACTTACAAATTATACACAGCCAGTGATGCTCCATGAGTTGACATCAAGTTGACAACAACTAATTTGGGTTTTTTTAGATGCTCTTACTGCCTGGTCTCTAAACATTTTAACGACCAAAAAGGAACAGATACCAGGAAACAAACTGTCAAGTACAAATTTGGTAGAATTTTGCAGGATCAGGTTAACAGTATTACAGTGCAGGCTGAAATTACTGGTTAACATCACATTTTGGGGATTAGCAACACAACTGATATACGGTATCTTTAAAGGGAGTGAAAAATGTTAGAGGAATAATGGTGATTACAAAACAGGGCACCAAACAGCGAGACAATGACCCACGCTTGTAAGTGGCAGCTGCTTAAGACCAAAAAAGTCAAACCTTCAAACAATGGTTGTATGAAATGCAGTCAACTCTGAATAAATTTATGCTACAGTCTGGATTTCCCAAGATAAATATTGTTTAACACTTCAAGCTTTCAACTTACTTAACACCACTGTTTACAGTACCATCATTTGAATGTGGCCTTACTAGGATGTATAGCTGAAGAGCAAGGAGAGGAAGGTCATTTCCTTTAAAACAAAAGGATTCTTTTATCCTATCACTCAAGGATGGTGATGTGGGAGAAGAGAACACGCCAGCAAGGGAGGGGGAAGCTGCACTGTTTTTCAGTCCATCTGGAGTTGGGTCTTTATTATATGCAATCATCGTATGTTCTGAAGCATCACAAAGAACATATTCATTCTCATTCCTATACAAGCACCAAACCTTCTTAAACCTAACAAAAATGAAGTTTTGTATTATCCATCACTCTGAATGGCTTGTGCCGCTGCTATAACCAAGAATTGATAGCAGACTCTATATCTTCCGCGCTTTTAGTTTCCAAACTTTAAAACCAGAAGAGCATACTTTAAGGTGCAGTGCACATTAACTGAAATGCCCCCAGGTCCTTGGCAATCAAAACGTTAGAGAAATGAGAGCTTAAGAGTATGGTTCATTTACTTACCTCTACAGAAGTCCATCAGAATGAGAACTTCCCATACGTCGCCACTACTCACATTGTTGATACTAGAGTCAATGTAACCCACAATGTTCTTGTGCCCAGACAGGTCCCTCTGTGAACAAGAGTTGAGAAATATAGTATCAGTTAAAGACACCAATAGGGACAGAATGAGCCAGTCAGTTCCATTAACACAAATAATTTAAATACACAGAGATGATACTACCAGTGGTGAGAGGTAAGACTAAGGAGCAGCATCAAGAACAGGTTTCCAGCGGTCTCTGAGCTTCATGGACAGATATTCAATAGCAATTCCACAACCCTACTAAACCACAGCACTCTCCTCTAACTAAACTCTAGGACCAAATGCACACACAGTGCCTACTTGCTCACCACATCAGTGCTCCATACAAACCAGAAGCAAAAACTCTCCAAAGCTTCCTAAACTTAACAAACATGAAGTTTTTTATTATCTATCATTTTGAATAGATAATTATCCATCACTTGGAATGCTATAATCAGGAGTTGATAGCAGACTTAGTGTCTCTTAACCTCCATATCTTTTAAACACTGCAGAGGGTCTAAGAGGAGAGAGACAGTACGAACTATTTAAATACCTGAATTTTTCATTCAGAAAAATGAAACTGATGTTTTTCTTGCAAGCAGGGGCACAAGTGAATTCAACTTGACTTTTCAATGATTCATACTGCTTCTCTCCTTTTAGTAAACATCTGAAAAGAATAACTGCTTTACAGCTTTGAAGGGACTATCAGGGCATCCAGACATAAGCATTTTGCTCGTAATTAAGTTTTTCAAGCCAATCAACTGAGATGTAAGGTGGGTAATGCTTCCAGCTCCCCTGTTGCAACCACACGTGATCTCTCAAGTTTGCTTCTGAAATTCACTCATACAACAAATATTTATTGAGCACCTCCTACATGTCAGGCTCCATTTAGGCACTGGAAATTGCCTTACACATTGGTATAATCATTTCAACGTCCATAGAGGCAAATCTTTGTAGGGACAATGTTCAAATTCCAAGGTCATTAAAATGAAAGAAGTTGGAGAAAGAAAAAGTAAGCAAGCTGGGTAATATGATTTTAGCACAGAAACATGCTAAGATTTTATTTAACTCGTTTTTTAATTTTAACTAGTTTTAATAAATTGTTTTATTTTTGGCTTCAAAAAGTGGAGGGAAGAGGTCTGGAAAACATGTGGTTCTATGAGAGTCACCGAACAAACTTGGCAGTCTGGATCCTGAGACCAGCAGCTACCACCATCCTAGTTGGAGATGCAGTTGTTTAATGGGATCAATAAACTTCTTGTAATGTGAAATTACACACCAAAACAAGAGGAAGCCTCAGAGTATCAAGTGAACACATCTGAACCCTGACAATCTAAGTAAAAACTCAACAGAACTTTCCATTGAATGAGGGGTTAAGAATGACTATTGTCGGGAAAGGTAAGACAAAGGTAGAAACGTGACCATTGGAACTGACAATGGTCACTGGAGATCTATGCAAGAGCAGTTTCACAGAAGCGATTGGTTGGAGGTGAGAATGGAATTGGACTTTTAAAGAATAGGAGTTAAGCAAGTAGAGCCAGACTACAGATTACTCTTTCAGAATATTTTGTGCTTAAAGAGTGAAGCAGCACTGAGGGAAGAATCAGAGAGAACTGAGCACGGCAGAGTGGAAGCGGCCAGAGGAAGAAAGCTTAAAGATACGGGAGAGGGCAAGGAGAATTGATGGAACACAGCCCTGGGGGCACTGTTAAAGGGACAGGCCTTCGAAAGACATTTCTTTACTGGCAAGGAGGAAGGAGACAAAGATGGATAGATTGGTTTAAGGCTAGAGAAAAAGGGAATTTGAGTGAGCTCAGATCTACTGTGTTTTGTCTATTTGCTTGTTGTTGGTAAAGAGCAAGGTAATCTTCCAAATGTAAAGGAATGAGAAAGAGGCTTGATGAGAGAAACAAAAGGTTTAAAGCAACTGCTTTTGATAACAGATAAGGGAAACCACGAGGAAGAAAAGCAGTCTCTAGAGATTTCAAGTTTCTTCAAAATGGAAAGTGACTTTAGGGCTCATATTTTATAGGCCTATCCTTCCCTGTGCTTTCTAGTCTCATTATCAATTCTTCTAGAACTTGTTTCCATTTAGGCAGTTCTGGAAGTAAGAAAAAATGAAAGGAAGGCTTTGAAACCAAAATGGAACAGAAGATCATGTCCACGAATAGAAGTAAAAGACCAATATCTCTACTTTAACTATTTGAAAAATAATCAGCAATGTTCCCTTTGAGCTCATCTCACCCAAGAGGAATAACAAATTAGTCTGGGGGAAAAAAAAGCAGAAACAAATCAATATTTGGTAGATCCCAGAGAACAGCAGAGGTCAAGAGCTATTAGAGGACCAAAGCTGGGTAATTAACATCTGCAGATGGCTCCCTAAGAAGTTTGCCAGGATGTGTGCTGAACAGTTTAAGCCCAAATTCCTGTTCATTTTGAGATCCGCAGAGATCCTTAGATATGCCCAAGCAAAAACAGACCTGCTTGTTGAAGGAAGACTATGGCATTTACCTTTAACTACTTGATATTGTGTAGCAACATCTCAGATTTTACAGTAAAACCACACTGGTTTACAACTGATGGAGATTTGTTTAATGGCTGTGAAATGTAGAGAAGTCAAGAGAAAATCTTACTGCAAACTGAAGCTGATTCATGGTTAGGGTACACTGGTACCAGCTGCTGCCCAGCTTTCAGGAGCAACAGGCCAGAGCTTTCCCTAGCCTTTAGGTAAAACATCAGTTCCAGGCTTACAGAGCAGAAATGGACACAGGGGTATGGGATGGAACCCACACTGGGGAGCACCTCAGCCACCACTTGCTTAGTAAGGAAAAGGCAAGATGTGGCGAAGATGTTTTGCTGCCCATGCATACAAGTACTATATACAGCACTGGGGTAAAAGTCTATGTGTTGAATTAAGTCAAAATTTTTTATTTTTATTTTTTTATTGTTGTAGTTTCAATGAAGTTTACATTTCAAGTTAGTTTCCCATACAAAATTTTATACATACATTGTTATGTGACCCTAACTGCTTACCCCATTCTGTGACAGCAGACTCCTCCTTTCCGCCCGATTCCCCATGTCCATTCAACCAGCTCCTAACCCTGTCTGCCTTCCCATCTCACCTCTGGACAGAAGCTGCCCCCTTTGGTCTCTCGTATCTACTTGAGCTAAGAGGCACACTCTTCACGAGTATCACTTTATGTCCCACAGTCCAGTCCAGTACCTGTTTGAATAGTTGGCCTCAGAAATTGTTTTAGTTCAGGGCTGATAAAGAATCCAGGGGCCATGCTTTCCAGGGTACCTCCAGTCTCAGTCAGGCCATTAAGTCTGGTCTTCTCACTAGAATTTCAGTTCTACACCCCATCTTTCTGCTGCTCCATCAGGGACTCTCTGTTGTGTTCCCTGTCAGGGCGGTCATTGGTGGTAGCTGGGCACCATCTAGTTCTTCTGGTCTCAGGCTGATGAAGTCTCTGGTTTATGTGGCCCTTTCTGTCTCTTGGGCTAATCCTTTCCTTGTGTCTTTGGTGTTCTTCATTCTCCTTTACTCCAGGTGGCTGGGACCAACTGATGCATCTTAGATGGCCGCTTGCAAGCTTTTAAGACCCCAGACGCCACTCACCAAAGTAGGATGCAGAACATTTTCTTAATAAGCTTTGTTATGCCAATTGACCTAGATGTCCTCTGAAACTATAGTCCCCAGACCCCTACCCCTGCTACTCTATCTCTCAAAGTATTTGATTGTATTCAGGAAACTTCTTAGCTTTGGTTTAGTCCAGTTGTGCTGACTTCCCCTGTAGTGTGTGCTGTCCTTCCCTTCGTCTAAGATGATTCTTACCTACTATCTAGTTAGTAAATAACCCTCACCCTCCCTCCCCACCCTCATAACCATCAAAGAATGTTTTTTTCTGTGTTTAAACCTTTTCTTGAGTACAAATATAAGTCAAAATTCGATTTTCGGGGGGGTGGTGGTGGTGGTGAAGGGCATATCCAATTAAGCTACAGACCAGATCAGTTTATCCCACATGACTTAAGCAATAATAAGTCTGAAGGGTTTGTTTCACCATTTAAACTGCTGAGATTAATAATGGGCTAAAACACTGTTATTAGGACACCTACTCTATTAAATAGATATTTTAAATGGTTTGTATTTAGCTTATTAATGTTCATATTTAACTCTGCTTAAAGTACTGAAAACCCTTTTTCACAAACACAGACAAAAGCTACCATCTGAAAATCAGGGCTTCGACCCAGATCCCATAGATTATCACAAATTCCAACTTTATCTGCGGTCCTAATTAATGATGCTCTGTAGCCTCAAAATCCCTGTGGCAGGAGAATTTCTGCTTAAGAATCTCAGAGCCTTATAAGAAAACCGAGGACTCAGTTTTTAAGTAAATCTATAAAAACCTTCATATTACACAGTTTCTATGTTCAAGAAAACAAAAAAAGGAACATTCTAAATAGCATATCAATAACATGTCACTCATTTCAAAAAAGTAAAAATGAATATTATATACAACTAAATTCCCTATATATCATTTGCTCAGGACACTCTTGCTTAGAGTTTCAACATAACTGCAAAGTTCTGATGCAGATAGTTCTTACACTTACAGATGGTAAGCTTCCAAAGAGGTATCTTTACCTACTTTGAGCCTCCGCCCAAATATTCAACAGCTTTCTGATGTTATGACTCAGGACTATTGATTCCTACTTCTGGAATCCCACTAGTGTTCATGGTTCCACAGACCCTCTTAACCAAATCTCAGCTGCTTCTTTACATAACTGTTCTAAAGCCTGGAATTAATTTATTTCTCTCAAGGTTGCTTTCCAAAATTATGCTTCTCCTTTACTAGTTCATTCTAATCCAGTAGCTGGTATGGGACCTGGGGTTTTAAATTTCTAACAGGTGACACTGATGCTGCTGGACAGTGACACTTTAGTAGCAAGGATCTAGAGCAGTGTTACTGAAAGTGTGCCCACAGACCTTTGTTGGTTAGTAAACTGTTACCAGTCCATAAGAAGATGGGGAGCTTGCTAAAGAACCTAAACTG